AAACAGCTCTAAAATTCCCAGGCTTTTCAATGTATGTATTTTATTTTTGTAAATGGCCCTGAAAGCCCTGTTAAATGACATTATATGAATCTTTCAACTAAATATGTGAACTTGACAATGTGGTTGAAACACTGGTGTGCATTCTTCTCACCAGGATCTTCATCTTATTCTGTACCTCATCAACGGAAGAAACAAAACGGTATTTCATCAGGAAGGCAACATCAATCAATTAATTGTTCTTGGAACCATTATGTTCTCTGTAAATTGATTAGAGAGAATTGCCAGATGTGCATCTAACCTGGCATTATAACAAGATCACCCCTCTTTGTATTATGTATTTGTATTTCTTTTGGAAAAGAGAATGTTATTCATGTTTTTAGGGGAAAAGAACAAACAATTTGGAAAGAGTAAGTTAATTAGCCGAAAACAGAAGAGCAAATAGATCCCATTAACTGTAAGAGCTATTCAAGGGACAGATGGATAAACAAAGCATTCCCCACCACCACCTTGGCTTTAATTTGAAATATATGGGAGAAAATGTGCACCCTCTTCCAACACACCATAATTTAGGGTGATATTCAAAATGGAAGAGTAGCACACGCTGATGAAACTTTGGCTCCAGCTCCTGTGTACTTTGCCCCATTCTATATACTTATTACTACTGTTACTATCAAATGTTTATAAATGCCAATAGCATGCTTGGCAGCAGAAGACAGTCTCCTTGTGGAATGTGGTGCTGTTTTTTCATTCCTGAAGGAACACATTTCTAAAATGAATATATATTCGTACATATTTTTTTGGTTGGAGAACAGCATTGCAAATGTTGAAGAAATGCAAATTTCAAAGTATAGCTGCTTTTTGCTTCATGTATTGTTTCAGAAAGTGAAAACCAAACTGAATTTCTGCCTCATCTCTAGCATTCAATAAATATGTGAGAGGAATCACTATCTTCTCCCACATTATCATCCACAAGTTGGAGGGTGGTGACTGAAGTTGGGTGCCCCCTGTAGCTTTGAGGATCTCTGCATATTTTAGTGTCCAGGAAAATCAGAGTTCTAAAACATGGAGAGTCTCCACAACTACAGGACTACAGAAGAGCACTGGTAAAGATGACCAGAAGTGGGGCAGGGTTGAAGCTAATGTGCTTGTCTCCACAGCCATCCCTCACATGTTTATTGATTGAAAATACAAAATGTCTTAAGGGGCCTACAAAGAGAAATTCTTTATGCATAGATGAACACCAAGTCTGTGGAATGGGGTAGAATAAGCTTGAATCGCTATAATTTTCCTTAACGTGAAGTCGCCCTTGTAGTTATCCTGTCTCCCTGTGGAGAGAATCCAATAAATGTCCTTAAAGGCTTGGGAAAATCGGTTGTTCTCATTGTTTGCACAGTGATGTAGAAAAGCCTTATGTGTCTAAGTTGAATTAGTGTGTAATAGCAAATAAGTGCTTTATATGTTTGAAATGGCAAAATATACCTTTGATATAAGTGCATAGTTTTATGTAGTGCTTTGTTTATACTTGAATTCTGATTAAAGTTGCATGAAATATTAATGGGTGGAAAGGGAGAGATTAGTTCATTAACTATAAATTAAAAGTTGGCATCCATTATTTAGTATGGCAGTTCAGGCTCCCAGTTGATGTCATTTATGTTGCTTTAATTACTATTCCAGTTTGCTAGTCTTACCACACAGGTCAATCAAAACTACATGCAATTAGAGTAAGTTTTAAAATCTTAGCTTAGATCATCAGGCCTGACCCTGATGCATGCCAGTTTTTGTGTGTGTGTAGTGTTTTTTTCAGATGGAAAACTCTGGTGTGGGGACAGAAGGCACAGTAGGGGTATCTATGCATGCTCAGGCCTGGTGGGCACCTTCCTCAACCAGTGCTGGGGCTTGTTTTAAACTTTAAAAAGGAGGGAGGGAGGGAGGGAGGCATGGACAGGGGTGTGTGCTTCCTTTGCTCCAGAGAAGAGATTTTCTGAATGGAATGGGAATAAATGTCCAAGTAGCATGTGTGTGTGTCAGGGCTGGAGTCAGATGCAGGTTAGCACAAAGAGGTAGAGTCTGTTGTCAGGGAAGTTAACTCTTTATTTAAGGAAACAGCCTACAACTCAGCAACACTTTTTAAATTAGAATGGAAAACCATAGCCAAAAGCAGGCAATAGGAACAGAAGATGTGGAACTGGTTGCATATCAATGAATACATTATAAGAAAAGAATTGTGGAATATTATTTTAATATATGATCACAGTGGAGAAATCCTTGTGTGGTCAAAGATGGAAGGACTTATTGTTTAACATGGAGGAATGATTGTTGAAGTTTTTGGAGACAAAGTTGATATGTTTATTTAAAGAAAAACTATTTCTGAAATTTATTAATAACAATAATTAGAGAACCCCCTTTTGACTTCATGTGTAAAAAGGAAAATGAATTAATCTGAGACATTTGGGTTGGGAGAGTGGGAAAATATTGTCCAACAGAAAGGAGGTTAGTTGGATATAATTTTAGAGTGAATATATTGAATAATTTCTTTTATGTTATGGATGGACAGAAAATTGGAGGTCCTTGTAATTTTTTCTCTTCTTCTGTTTCTTTTTTGTTTTCTTTTTGGGTCATTGGTTGACAGGGCCAGAAATGATTCCCCCCCAACCTGATTGGCACTTGGTTGGGGGTTTTTTCTGCCTTTCCCTCAGTGAAATCATGGCTTTCCTTTGTTAGGCAGAAGAACATTGTTTTATGAGGGTGGAAATGGCACTGGTCAGGATCAACATAGGTGCCTGAGGGGAGGATTGACCACAGCAAACCCAAGCCTGGGTTTGATATCTGCCTGGTTGGAATCTGTGCCCTGGTCCCCCAGTGCGACCCTCCTTGCTTGGCTTGCACCATGGCAAAGTTCAACACTGGCTGACTCTTGTCATACAAGTTTGGAGCAATCCAAACCCAGCAGATCCATTCCATCAACATGGGGCTTGAGGAATGATGAACTGATCCTTGGACCCAATGCCAACCCTTGCCCTGCCTGCTGCCAATAAAGATTTGGCCTGATTTTATTCCATCACCATTGTACAATCTGCTTATTTTGCGGCTCTCATGGGTCACATAATGCACCTGCCTGGGCAAAATAAGATTAAAGGTGTTCATAGCCAAACCAAGATAATATGGCAAATGGGGGCAGGGGGATTGGCAGTAAACGTACCTCTCTGAAACTGCCTGTCAGGGGTTCAGGGAGAGAGGCACAGGGTAGGGAGGAGATGGAGAGCGATGGGGATGAATCCCAAGCCAGCGAGGAAGAGGATGACAATGACTCAAGAGATTCCATGAGTCTTTCCAGCGAATCAGAGGATTCCCAGAAGGGGGGCGCCGGTGGTCAAGGCCAGGGGAGCCCCAGGGGGGGACGTGTCAGGAGCAGGGGGCCAGCGGAGGATCCCAAAGTGGCAGCTGGGCGTCAGGACCAGCCTCCCCACCAGAGTGCAGCGAAGGGGGTGGAGTTTCCAGTGTATCAGGGGAAGCAGCTTCGGCAGCAGAGAAGGGAGGGAGGTCAGAGCAAGCCACCCTCCCGGAAGGGGAGGGGAGCAGTGAAGGGAGTAGTGTATCTGTCAAAAGGAAAGTTAGAGGTTTGGCGCGTGCGCCAAGTTCAAATGTAGAGGCGCGCGGAAGTACAGGGAGCCCGGAGGAAGGGCCAGGTCCCAAAGCTCGCAGGAGGGGGCAAGAGCAGTCTGATTCCGCGTCAGAGGAATCCAGGAGGGGCGAAACCCCAGCGGGCAGAAGGACCCTGCAGAAAAGGAAAGAGAGAAAGAGGTGGAGCAGCGCAAGCCTCTTAAACTGGTGCAGGGGAGGGACGGATTCAGAGGGGACTTCAGCGGTCTAAGCGTAGGAGACGTAGGGCTGCGCGCCTCGGATGTGAAGCAAACAATGAACTGCAATAAACACTTTTGTATATAAGAAGAGATAGGCGTTGGTCTTTTGTGAGCTGAGACTTGAGGCAGCCCTGACACTGCCCATATTTGCAATCTTGCTCCAGGAGTGGGCAAAGTCACACATACATGAGCTTGGATCTTCATCTGTTTTAAACTGCCATAGTTTCAGTAAAAAGCAGTCATTTACAACTGGAAATTGACTCTAGATTTCCTCAGAAAGTCACAATAGAAACCCTTTTTCATCTAAAATAAAAGGTCTTTTTTTTAGTTCTATCATTTACAGGGATTGCCAAAATGTAATTTGGAACATGCAGCATTTATTGAATCATTCCATGGGCATATGGGGGAAATGTAATATTCTTATACAAAAGGTTAAGATTATTCCTTGTGTGTTCCTCTCCTAGTGCTTTAAGTAACACAATATGCTCAGAGTTCAGCCTAAAGAAATCAGATGCAATCATTACATTAAAGAAAAGAAGATCAATAGGTTTGACGACAGCTATTCTTTCTCCAAATGAGAAGGAGGCTTATAGGAGCGCATCATGTGGCGGAATGTTCTTGAATGCGGCGGTGACTTTAAAGTATCAACATATCTCTTTTATGTAATGCTAATTATACTTTGTCCAGCTGTACAATGGAAAGCCTATCAATAGAAGCAGCATTGCTCATGCATGACCAGCTAATTCCTCCTGTATCAGTAGGTAGACTTTGAAATATCCTGGGGCATGAAAGGTGAAGACTGTTGTCACTTCATTAGCTGGTGGAAACGTACGGCACGTTTCTTGGGTCACACTTTTGGTTCTGCATATTCATCTACTTCATAAATGCAGACGTATCTTCATCATAAATAATGGGGCAATTGTTTGCATTTCAACAGGCTGTTTGCATAGGAAAATGCAGCAGAGAACACAATTCTTCCATTCGCTTTTCCTGACTCTTTTTTAAAAAGCTTATTGGATTAGTTGTATTGCTCATGTTTTCAGTGCAGCATAAATTTCTAATTACCAATTCCCTACTAGTTACTGAATAACGAAGCTTATTGGACAGCATGTATTGTAGCAAAATGTTTATTCTTTTCTTAACCTTAATTTAAATGTAATATAAATTCCTATCTATTTTTACAATGATCTGATGGAAAATTATGATGACTCTAAATTTCCCAATTAGCTTTACAACCACCCTCAAGTAGTTGCGTAACTCACATCAACAATTAATCAGTGTGCTGTTGTTAAAGCTGCAGGCTCTGAGCTATAAATGGTCCTAACACAATCTAGTTGGCTGATGAGGCTTATCAAGGGGAAATCTTATTCTGGTTAAAGCTGGTTTCATGGATGGCCCTTTCTCCAAAACTGTCAGAATGTGACTCATGCAGAATGCTTGGCCCCATCTTCTGATAGGACACAATGTTTTTGTGAGTGTTGCCACACCAGTTTTCCTTGCAGCCTTACAGACATAACCAAATATATTTTTATCAACACAAGTAGATGTCACATGTAGAAAGAAGCAGGATCCAGAAAGCACCTTGCGCATATTCCTAACTGAATGAGAAAATGGGTGCTACATACATGATTCTTCAGATTGGTCTGGCAAGTTGAGCTGCATGTGTGAGGTCCTGGCCTGCAAAATACAAGTTGCAATTGACCAGTCATCTTGTCTAAATAAGCAACAGAAGCTCCTTCCTGAAGCCTCCCTGACAATTCTCCCTGTGGAGGATCATCCCTGACAACAGGCCTGAGAGCGCCCCAATTGGAGAACAGCCTTTACCAAAGGTGTCACGGACTTTGAAGAAGCTCAAACTCAGGAAGAAAAGTAGAAACGTGCTAAGAGGAAGGCATGTTTGGCAAACCCTCACCGTGATCCACTCTGCCTGGAAACCTATTTCCCCGCTGTGGAAGGACGTGTTGATCCAAAATTGGCTTCCACAGCTACTTACAGACTCACTGTTCAGACCGTGTTCATGGAAGACAATCTTACTCGGCTACGAGTGATTGCCAAAGTAGACGAAGAGGAGGCATAATTGAAGCTTATTTTACGGGACTGGCTGCTTCACATTTGCATAACTGGATTGCAACTCCTGTTTCTTTCAGGAGTGGCTCCTTACTTGTGGAATGTCCTCCTTAGGAAGGCTTGCCTGGTGCCTACTTTAATGTAGTTTTGATACCTGGCAAATAGGTTTCCTCACAGACCTTTTAAATTGCAACATTTTACCTTAAGACTATTTTAGGCTGTGATTATCTGCTGTTGGTTTGTTCCTCTCTCTTTTTTATTGGTCTCCCAGGTCCTAGAGAGCCAGTGTGGTGTAGTGGTTAAGAGCGGTAGTCTCGTAATCTGGGGAACCGGGTTCGCGTCTCCGCTCCTCCACATGCAGCTGCTGGGTGACCTTGGGCCAGTCACACTTCTCTGAAGTCTCTCAGCCCCACTCACCTCACAGAGTGTTTGTTGTGGGGGAGGAAGGGAAAGGAGAATGTTAGCCGCTTTGAGACTCCTGAAGGGGAGTGAAAGGCGGGATATCAAATCCAAACTCCTCCTCTTCTTCTTCTTCTTCTTCTTCTTCTAGTACCACTGATTCATTTCAAAACATAATGCAACAATACAAATAATAACATATAATTTCAACAATGCCAACATTATATTTTAAATTGTACTACAATGGCTGTCATCCAGACAGTAAGTGTATTTCATTAGCTGGTGTATTAGCTGGTCAGTCTTTCTTGAGAGGAAGTTCCTTTTCAACACCAAATAGGCAATGTGTGGACAGTATATGGGTATATCCAATGGGAATCTTTTTCTTGGCATACTGTTCTCCCAATGGTCAAGCAAATGGCTGTGGGAAATCTGCAAGAGCAACAGCACTCTCCTAGCAACTTGGGATTCCTGGTAACTGGTATTCAGAAATGATCCAGATTACAGCTTCTTGTAGTGTCATTCTTAAAACTCTAGAGGAAAAGAGGGCTGAACCAAATAATAGGCCCCCAAAACCTTCATAATACAAATGATACAACTGTTTTTGAAAACAATAGTTTGCATATCTAACCATAATGACGTTTAAGGGCTATTTTACATTATGTAAATAGAAAATCCATTTCTCCATTAAACTAAAAGCTAAAAAAACACATTTTCTATTAAAATCAAAGGAATTGCACTGATATAAAATTCATGTAAAAAATGGAAAAATCCACCAAAACTAACCCTGCTTTACAATAATTCCAGGAAATGACACTGCAAAATTATATATGTTGTTTTAATACAGGCTGAAGAGTAGGTTTTGTATCCCTTGTTTTTGCCCTAATGAGGATTCATATCAGAACTTTTATTTTATTTTATTTTATTTTATTTATATACTGTCCTATACCCGCAGGTCTCTGGGCAGTTCACAGAATAAATTTATCACACATCTCTTCTTCCCCTGAATGACATTTTGAAATTGTAGTACATTAAAAATTACCAATCAGTATCAATCCGAAATTGCTTCCAGAGTGTGGTAGGAGTCCATTAATATCTTCCATATGGACATAAATCCAAAGGCTTTCATTGCCAGAATCGTTTTTGGCACAACTCTTAGGTGTGTGTGTGATAATTAATTATTCTCATCATCCCTTTTCTTTTTTCCTGCTTGTTTCCCATTCCTGATTTTTAATTATTTCTGGTTATGAGGTGAATTTTTTCAATGCCCAGCATATTGGAGGGTACATAATATAAGTAATGTGTGGGGAAGGAATAGTAGTTCACACCCACATCAAGGGCAGACTTTGGTAAACTGACCCCATGAACGAAGACAAAATTTGGTCCCCCCCCCCCCAAATTATTTCTTATTTTCACAATAATTTATTTGGGTATAGTTACTTTTATGGATTTTCTCAGTAGGTAGCCAGATAAATACAGTTGTTGCTGCTGTTATTATTGTTGTAGTAGCAGTGGTAGTTATTTTGTGCCCCCTCAGCTCTGCGCCCAGTTCAGGGGAACCACCTTCATTTCCCTAAATCTGGCACTGCACACACACGCACATACTGTATTCTGTATCCTATATGTGCAAACCTCTCCATTCTAAAGAATTTGTGTGTTCTCTACTCCCACCCTCCATGTTCTACCTTGCATGGTCATAAAAGACACTTGAAAAATACTATTACAGAATATGCAATGTATAGTGATGGGTATCATGGGAAGAATATGGGATTATTATACCCAACTGTACTCACATCTAAACAAAATAAATTTTATTTTATACCAATCTTCAGAACAGTATCCTAATTACTGCAGTGGTAATAGTTCTGCTAATTGCACGAGTGCTGTTATGAACACAACATAACTTAGACAAAAAAACAACTCAGTTTACAACTCAGTAGAGAATCACCATGCACACAATACAAAATTTAATTGGAAATTAATAAACAAATTAGTGGCACCTTTCTTCATAATAAGCCAGCTAGCCTGCAGGCAACCAAACTAAGCACAAAAGTACCCATCCAATTATGCAAATGAGTGCTGTCTAAATAGAGAAATAGTAAATTCAGATATTTAATTCCTGTGAGATTGCAATCCTAAATATATTTACTAGGAAGTAAGCTCCGTGGTATTTACTTCTTTACTGTAAGTCTGCTATTTCTCCTGTAATTTATAACATGCAAAATGTATGATATATGCTCTGGATGGTAATTGTTTGCAGTTCCACTTTTTTTTGAGAAACCCTCCTCCAATAATAATGAAACTGTAGTTTTGTATGTAGTAATTCATTTTAAACAAATGAATGAATAAATAAAAGCGTAAAACATGCATTCAAATTTTATTGCTATGTGTTAAGCATCAGTGAATCTCTGTAGTGGCTAGGATCAAAATAATACTGGAGAGATTCACAGACAGAGAAAGACAGTCATTCCACAGCTATAGGTATTTGTGCTGGAAGCCTACATTGCTTTACTTAGCTGGTCTGTATGACTTGCATTTTTGGTAAATCTCGTTGCCCATTTGTATGAGTAATTGGCCATGTGTTGTGAAATTTATGGCCAATAATAAAATATAGAGTTGGAAAAGATCTTGTAGGTCATCTAGTCCAGCCCCTGCCCCATACAGGTTCTGCAAGTCAGGATGCAACTACACTACCCTTGACAAATGATGGACTAGCCTCTGCTTGAATATCTCCAGGAAAGGAAGGCCCACCACTTTCTGAAGCAATCAGTTCTATTGTTAGGCAAATTCTCCCTATGGTTACCTCAAAACTGCACCCTTTCAATTATCCAAACATTTTTTCTGCTCCATCTTCTACATGACAACCTTTTTAGTATATGTGAAGACTACTGTCTTGTCTTTCGTTAACCTCTCTTCTCCAGGTAAAACATACCCAGTTCTTCTAACTATGTGCCTTACAGGACTTGGTTTCCACACATCTCACAATCCTGGTTGCCCTCCAGTTGGTCAGTGTCTTTGTTAAAATGTGGTACCTAGAATACATCACAATATTCTAGAACAGTGGTTCTAAATACTGTAGACCATCTGTTTTGCAAAAGCAAAGCTATGGACCACCTACTTTTAGAATTGCTGATATTTCTATGGTAGTTTTGGTTATGTGAATGATGCCTTGGATCCCCTGAGTGGGTTACGAGGAACTCCTGGGGTTCATGGACCATCAACTGGGAACTTCTGCTCTAGAGGCAATCTGACCAGTGCAGAATAAACTGGAACTTTTACTTCTGATGGTCTGGAGACTGTGTTCCTGTTAATGCATTCTGAGATTGCATTGACTTCTTTAGCAACTGCATTGCACTGCTGGCTCATGCTCAATTTATGATCAACTAAGACACCTACATCCTTTTCATATGTCCTGCTGTCAAGCCAGATATCTCCCATCCAGTGCCTTTGATTGTTGGTACCTTAATGGAGGACTTTATACTTATTTCTGTTGAATTTCATCTTGTTGGTTTCAGCTCAGTGTACCAACCTGTCAAGAATATTCTGAATCTTGCTTCTGTGTTGCAGCTCCATTGTATGATAAATGAAAGCTACTAGAGTGTCATGACATAGTTGTTTTTCAACTTGTGATCTCTGTCAATTGCATAAAGCATTGATTGTCATTAGGCTGATGGATAGATACATTTTGGAATTAACAGGTCAATGTCTTTTCTCTATGTATGCTTCTAAAATATTCCTCATCTAATTTCCCCCCCTAGATTTTGCAGTTTCCAAATTCCCTTATCATATTTCATAAAGCCATTGCACTGAGCAGCTTCCATTAAACAAAACATACACACTTGTACAAGGCATACTGCATGCAGAGTTTACCAGCTTTTTCTGTCCCTTCATGTCTTTCCTTAGCCCTCCTAAATTAAATATGTGCATATGTGCATTGATTAAATACTGCCAATGAGCAATCCTTGTGTAATTGCACGTAAGGCTTTATCAAGATATGTGTGTGACATTTCACCAATGAGCAGTAGCAGACATGCACTTCAGTAGAACATCGAACAAAATATAATCTTGATGGAATTATACACATGGAGATTGCTTTTCCTCCCAGGTGTTTTATCAATGCACACATTTGCATTGGTAATGCAGAAGGGGAAAAGATGCAAATGAACTGAAGAAATGGAAGGCAATGTCTAGCAGCTCATGACCGAACTCCAGAACTAACATTAGAACATCTTAATTAAACTAGAATTCAGAACGCATAGAACACAGTACAGAATGTTTCACAGAATAATTAAGGAATGGAATGGGGAACATATGTTATTCTCAAGCTTTCTCCATACTAATTAGACAAGCCACCTTATTGCTTCTTCTCAAAGCTCTTCTTTTTGTTCTGCTTCCTCCCTCTATCATACAGCCCCGATTGCATCCTTGCCCTCATCTGCTTTACTGACGTGCCAAAGGGCCCATATCCACTGGCTTTGATTTCTAAACATGGCAGACCATCATGTATCTAAATGTGCTGTTTCTTGATTTGACAGTCTTTGCCATGGCCTATCAAAAGTCCGTATGAAGGCTGACTTGCATTTTTCTCTTGGGGTATTAGATTGGATGTTCCAAGTCATGAATCTGTCATTAGTGGTAGTCACCTGCTGTAGATTGAATATGGGTGACAATTTGCTAAGTAGTAACTTAATATGTTGTGATTAAAATTACTTGCATGCCAAACAGTGGAAAAAACCTCACTACTAGCAAGAATAAGAACACCCTTACTACTTGGCAGGACAATACAGATGACAAATGATAGTTTATCATGGAATTGCATGCATACTATGGAATGTTACCGCTTAGCACCATTGTCTGGTGTTCGCACTATGGTTTATAGAAGCCTTCCACAACCAGGTGCCCTCTAGGTGTTTGGGAATACAACTCATCCAAGTCCAAGCCATCATGATCAAGCCTCCCATGACAATGGGAATTCTAGTCCAAAATATCTGGAGGGCTCCAGGTTGGGGAAGGCTAGTTTACAGGAAAAAGCTGAGGTACGTGTGTGCTACGATGGGGTAAGAAGGTCAGATTCCTTTCTTAAGAAGTAATTTGCTATTGTGTTAGTATGTCAGATTTCAGAGACCCATGTCTCCCATACACAGAGGTGACATTTAGAATTCAATATATCAGGTATACAAATATGAATGCTAGGTAAAAATGAATACTGCTGGTGATCACTAACGTGAGAGACTTTTCTTATGGCAGATCATTCATAGGGAAATCTAAGAACATTTATTAGATTTAAGAGTAGGTAACTTAATAGACTCAACCAGTCCTGAAATATTTGGTAATCAGTTTTTAAAATTTATAGTTACTTTAATATAACAGATTTTCTAAAAATAGAAAATAGCATGGAGACACAATGTGTGTGTATATAATCAAGTTCCATGCCAACTAACGTGATAGAGTTTATTAAAAATAGTGGCCCCAAACTGCCAGAATTAACTTGGCATTTATTAAATGTCTAGGAATAAGCTAAAATGTAGAGTATAAGAGTGAGATTTTTGACTTCCAAAAGCTCTTGGCATCCATCAAAATGAATGAATGGGAATCTGGCAAAATAATGATAGCAAGTGTATTGCTGTTGGAAGGGGGGGAGAATTTAAAATGTTTGTGAGAAGAAATTTGACCTTTCATATAAAAGACACGATAGTTTTCTATGGAAAATTGGCCCATAAACCTGAATTTAAGGCACACACAGATCCTCCCTAAAATACACCTTCCCATTTTATTGAGAAACAATTTCAAGTTATGGTGCAGTGAAACGTTTCCTTACCTTACTTACGTTATAATTTTGTGTGCCTGGAAAAGCACCTGGAATCAATTATGCACATAGACACTTAAGTCCAGGGTTGGTTATCTTCACAATTGTTTTTCTTTCTCTAAAAAGTAGTCTAATATCCTGATCACAGACTGATTTCACTGCCCGTATTGTTATGTACCCTTTCTCCACCTCTTTATCTCCCTGTTGTTGTTTTTTTTAAAAAATAGGAGATAGAGAAGTGGAAATGAAATTCTCTTGTTTCTGCATTTCCCAAATATGTTGGGCGTGTGGAAGAAATCCTCATGTAAAAAATAGGGCTGTGCACAGCCTCCAGATCTGACTCGGGGCCTAATCTATTACTTGGAATTAGCCCTGATCTGACTGGGGCCAACCTGACCTGCATCTGGGCCCCGAAGCAATTCAGGGGCTAGCACTAATGTGTAATTAGAGTTTAGGGTTTAATATGCAGACAGGAAGGCATGGGGGAAAGAAAGACCTCTGTGTTTGGGAGGCAAACACAACTGGGTAGTCCCGGTTTAAATAGGGTTGCCATATAAGACCCCATACTGATTTTAAGCTTTTGGAGCTGTTTCCACTGCTTTTTCCATCGCGTTGTCATACTTCTGGGTTTTCTCTGGCATTTTGCTGATTTGGCAAAATTCCTCCCTGACACCATTTTTGCACCTGAATACCAGGACTGTCAGGAATTTTCCTGATATATGGCAAGCCTAGGTTTAAGGGGGAAGAGAGAAAGCAAGCGGAGCACAGTAGTAGCTGCCCCCCCTTGACACCTCCTCCCTTCCTTTCCTATTCATTATTAGGCTCGTGCCATCTCTGCCTCCATCTTGTGTTCCCTTGCTCTTTCCATCCTGCAGCCAGAGTTGTGCATAGCTGATAATAGGCCCAGGCCAGATGGGAAATGTAGGTCCCATTTTAATAATCTTTACCAAAGGGGCCCTTCCCCTTTGCCTCTAGCAAGGGAACTGTGCGTAGGCCCCCTCAAAATTGTAGACCCATGCCAATTGGACCCCTGCCCCCTCTCTGTTCTGGCCTGCAATGGGAACCACAATGGAAGGACTCAAGGCAGTGGCAGTGGCAGTGGCGCCAAACAGATTAGGAGCCATGGGTATGAGATGATAGAGCCAAGGAATAAGTTGAGCCAACATATTCTCTGCAGTCAATGGTACAAGCCCATCTGTTGCACAGAGGATCTGCCTCTACCCAGAAGGGGGAGGAGGCAGCCTAGGTAACATGTGATACTTCCTCTCCCTCTGTCCTGCCTCCTTTTTGACAGCCCTAGATAACTCTTGAAACCAGGCAGGTTATTGTACCGTCTTCCAGACTTAATAGCACAAACTGGTGAGGTTGGCATGATGTTTCTTTGCTTAAAACAACAAATCACCCAGGCTTCCGGTTTCCCTGTTGTGGACACAAGGAGTGAGTGATTCAATCAGGTCACAAATTCATTTCCTGGCATCTCCAGTTAAAAGGATCTGAGATGGGAAAGACCATGGCTTAAAATGTTGGAGAGCCAAGCAGTTCTCTGAAAAGCCATCAAAAGTCATGCAGTTGAGAAAGTCCCACCACAATTGAATCCCATATTTGAACAGTCTCTGGCACATTGCTGCTGTGTGTAGGATTATGGCATAAAGGAGAAATTTATTCAGAGCTGAAGGATATTCATATTAGGGTAATCCATGAATAAAAAGACTAGTGCAGGGAATAGAAAAGAAGCTTGGTAGACTAATGTAATACAACAATGAAGAAATTGTATAGGGCAAAGTTGGTTGTGTGGGAGTGTATGATGAAGATAAGGAGGTGTGAGAAGTACATGTGTGCTTTCTATAGGAAGACTGGGGTCCAAGTATAAAACCCAAATAATACAAAATATCAGAAAGTGAAGAAAGATATACTGAGTCTGAAAAGGAACTGAATTGTGGTGTATAAGTATAAAAGTGTTGAAAGAGCAACCAAGATTTTCATATACTCTGGAAAGTATGTGGGATAAAGATACCTCTCTCTGATCATGTGGTTTTTCTTCTCTTATTTTCTTTCAGAAAGGAGTGCAGCAATTTTCACAGCGCTGTGGTTTATAATAGAAGGGATTTATTAGAGAAGGTGTCCAGGAATAGCCTATTACATTACCATCTAATCTGACTCAATTAAAAGTACCAGGGAAAAATACTTCAGCTTTTCCCTCCCTAAGCCTTTTCTTTCTGATTTGCAAATGAGTTACTAAAAAATCACATCTGCAGGCATTAATGTAAAACTGTCATTTATGCTGTACCTTGCAATTATGTTGAAATTCAGTGGAATGAATTTATGTTAATGTTATTTGAAAAATAATGCACACAGGTCTTTCTCTTCTTGTTTTTGTGCCATCTTGACATAGTCTGTCAATCTGGGGTAAATTTGGTCATCTTGAAGTGGTGTAGTGGAGCAGGAATTCAGGGAAACACAGCTGTTACATTTTTCACAGCAGGAGTAATGACATAATCTTCAGGAGCAGTCTTGCCAGTATTGTAAGCTGCTGCTGGTTGAAGGAAAGCTCTGGCCTGGCACATAGCCCTTTTGTTAGATAAACTAGGCTGACAAAGTCTACTACAGCCAGATGGGCGGGGTACAAATAATAAATTATTATTATTATTATCAGAGATGTGAACCCATATCTCCTCAGCTGAGAAGTCCAACATGCTAACTGCTAAGTTGGATCCTCCTAATTGAGGGTCCGTGTTGTGCATGGGCCCAAGGTGCCCCCCCATCCATGGGGTGGGGTGGGGATGAGCTCAAGCCTCGTGGTGCCCCACGGTAGCGCCACGGCATATTGGCCAATCAGAATGTTGTGGAGTGATCGTGTGGGCTGTTAAAAGCCAGTGGCATGTTGCTGGGGCTTTACCTGGCTTCACGCTGCCGAACCCCCCCCCCCATGTGTTTTAGGTGTCTGCTTTGGCCTTGCTCTGGTTGCCTGTTTTGGAACAGGGGCTAGGTAGGATTTTTTTCCATTTGGCAGATTGGCACTGTCCATTTTCACCTACCTCTTAGCAATTGTCACAACTTTGTAAGGTTTGGCAGTTAGGCATTGGCTTTGTGAGATGTGGGGGAGGGGAGGTGTGGCCATCACCTGCGCCTCCAGGTACAAGGGTATTCTGTTAAAGGAATCTGCGGGTCTGAATTTTGTCCAAAGTCTGCTTGTGGGGCTAGGGCTATGCCAGGACCCTGCGGGCGAGCTTCAGTTGGTCGCCATTGATGGAGCTCCCTCTGTTGGTGGTTTGCCCTTCTAGATTTCCTGCAAGGCGGGCAGGAGTCAGATATAGTTATTGCCAATGCCTAAGCCAATACCACTCACATTGCTGTAATCAATAAAGTTGTGGCCTAAATTTTGCCCATTAACCTTAAACTAAAATCCTGTGTCAATGTGTTTTTATTATTTTATTAGGGGTGCGCTGGGGCCTTGTCGCACAAATCAACCTTTGCCAGCTGATGCCTTTTCCAACTCTTTTTCGGACTGCAGTTATGGACTTTATTGGTATGTGGGTCTGGAAGCCATTATGATAAGCTCCTGCACTTCAAAATTAAACACAACATCACTGGTGATCAATTAAGTGGTTCAACTTTTTCCTAACTCTCCAGTCAGTTAAGTTGAAAGGAATAGCCTTTTTGAATTTCTATAAGATAAGAAACTTAAAAGAAATGGAACTTAAACAATGGCTTTATTCCTTGAAGGGCACAATTCCCCCACATAGTGCATGCCATTTAAATTTATACATTCTTGACATATTGTTGGATTAATTGAATTGTATTCTATTTAAACAAAGTGGCAGCCCTGCTTCTTGGCCTGATTAAAGTTATTGAGTTTACAACATCGTATTCTTTGGCTCTGGTGAAGGAAGCATTTCTTTAATTGCTTCCTTAATGCACGCTGCCTGTCTCCTTCCAGAATAAATGGGTGAGATTGTCAGGTTTCACTCTATGTGTGTTTTAGAGAAATTTATATAATAGTCAATTTTGTATTAAAAGTGATTAGATCACAGGATACAGCTGTC